ACAGAAAAAGGGAAGATCTTCAAATATTTTATTTCCTTAATCGAGTTTATTTTATATTCCATATATAATATATTATGGGTCTTTTATGCTATTTTATTTTGTAGGAAATCGGATGTGATTAAATTAAAAGAAGGAGAGACGTGCATGCTAAGGAGATCAAAGAGAGAGAATGAAATATTCACTTACCTAAATTGAGCTACAATTAAGGAAGGAAATCAAGTTTGGAGTTCTATGTCTTGTAGAAGACTCCAACCTTAAGGAGTATATATATAAATACCCTAGAGGAAGCTCTGATTGCGGCTGCAGAGATTTGAGAGATTTTTAGAGCAATATTCGAGCTTCGCATTTCTGTTCTATTCAGTTGTACACAGTTCAGTACGAGAGTTCTTACACACTCAAGGACTGAAGCTGTTTTTGTTTAATTTCTTTGTTTCATCAAACTATCTTTTGCTTTTACACTTAGGGAGTAAGTGTAGGATAAAAAGTCCACGGGACGTGGCCGGAGAAATAGTTGATAGGATCGTGAGTAGTGTTGGCTAGGCTTAAAGGGAGTTTGAGTCGTTGTAAGTCCAAACTATGTTCGTGTTCGATCTATCAATGAAAGAGCTCTGAGGGGAAGCGGGATGCTTCCCTGAAGAGTTTTTTAAATCTTCGGTTTATTGCTTCCGCATTATTCAGTTCTTAATTTAGTTCATACGATAAACAGCGCACTCCGTAATAATTATACGTTTCAATTGGCACCAGAGCAGTGTTCCTGTTCTAATTACGGGATAAAGATCTTTGGGACTGTGTATCGGGCACCATGAGTCATGATGGGATGTCTGTTACGCACTCTCTGTTTCTTGATGGTTCCAACTACTCGTACTGGAAATCCATGATGGTGATCTTCCTTCGATCTCTTGGTAAAGGCACATGGCAGGCTGTTGAGAATGGTTGAACTTTACCCCTCCAAGAAAAAGTTCCTGCTGAAACTAAGGGTGGTGAGTGCTCGGATGGGAAGTCGTCAACTACCAAAGTACTGGTTCAAAAACCAAGGAGCATCTGGACCGACAATGAAAAGCAAGCAGAAGAGGCTAATTTTCGAGCTTTATATGCTATCATGTCTGCTGTAGATCCCACCCGGCATAAGATAATAAATCAGTGCACTACCGCTTAAGAAGCTTGGAGGATCTTGGAGAGACAGTTTAAAGGCACAAATGCGGTTAAAACGTCAAAGCTCCAAAGATTCTCAACTGAGCTCGATGAGATCCGTATGAGGAAGGATGAAACCATTGACATGTACTATGCTCGGTTCTGCGATCTAGTAAACCAAAGTGCTATGCTGGGTGAACCGGTCCCAGAAGCTAGACAAGTTCAGAAATTAATGAGAACTCTACCAGAGAGGTTTGGGATCAAGATTACTGCACTAGAAAGTTCTCAGAGAATTCAGAAACTTGATATTGATGACCTTCGCAGTGAGCTTCGCACTTTTGAAATTAATCATGGATTTGACTCCATGAGAATAAGCAAAGGGAAAGGCTTAGCGTTAAAGGCCAAGGTGCGCACTTCAGTAGCTGAAGATGAAGAATCTGATGAGGAATCTTTTGATCCTCATGAAATCACCAAGGCTCTCACTGTACTCTCCAAGAATGTTTCGAAGTTAAAGAAGTTCCAGAAGAAAAGGTTCCAGGGAGACAAATCCTTTGAAAGTGGTAGGAATCAGCTTCAGCAATTTGGAGAAAAACGTTCCAGCATGCAACTGAGCAAATCCCAGAACTTGAACCAGGGGGTTGAAAAAGATCAATGTCGTGAATGCAGGGGATTCGATCACTTTCAAAAAGAATGTCCTAACTTCAAGAAGAAGAACAAGACGTTCAAGGAAACATGGTCGGACTCCAGTGACGACGAGGAGGGAGAATCTGAAAAGACTGAGAATTCTAACTACTCTAATAACTCTGCTAAATGTCTTCTTAATGAATATAATTGTTTTACTTCCTCTGTTCATCTGACTGATGTTGATATTATCATCCGACTCGGTAAAGCACAATTAAGGACCTTGAACAGCACCATAAGCAAAATTTGACTCAAACACCGACGTCATAAAGTCATCTCGGTTCGCACAATAAAACCGGTACGACCAAAGAAGACCGAAGTGATCCTTATCCTCCAAAGTCACTCCAAACCGAGGTCATTCCGAACCGAGGTCATTCCTAAAGCAGGTGACAAGGCGCCTACACGCCCCTGTCACAACCTACGAGATTTATCATCATTCGCGTAGGGCCCACTGGTTCAACCGCCCATCTAAAGTAGCTTTTTCTAACAAACAATGCACGGATCCCGACGTATGCATCAAAAAGGTTACTATAAATAGCCAGCTAGTGATATTTGTACGGGATCCGACTCCGAACCCAAACATACGATCTTTTTCATGCAACACGTAACAGCCCACAGCGGCTTTTCACCTCGGTCCACCTCGGATCGGGGCCATTGTTGAGTTTTTTCTTACATGATTTATATCCAAACCGCTCGTAATTATCATATAAATCCTTTACCAAATCGTTGTTAAGAATCATACGACAACAGTTTGGCGCTAGAAGGAGGGCCTCATAAGTGATTTGAGGTTACTTTCTGACTCGTGTTTAAGCGATCCACATCAGCTATACTAATCATGTCTCATTCTGATCATCGTGGCCATACTTCACGAGATGGCCACAGTCGCAGTGTTGCGCACTCCGCCCGACGACCAGTCGTAGCCCCCCATATACCAGATTACGCTGTTCTATTCCAAAATCCAGAGTTCGCACGTGGGTTCGCTACCTTGATGGCTCAAACGATCCCTAGAGCGTCAACAACTGCCCCGGGACATTCCATGATACCCACAACACCTGCAAATCTGCAGAATCCACCGGCACGACAAGACGGTGGAAGGACCACATCTAACGCCACGTCTGAACCCCGCAGTCGAGCGTCGCAGCCGCCTCCGGAATAAACCACGCGTCGCACCGACGTTGGACGTAATCCCCTTGCACTTCCTCATGAAGAAACCGCCGAAAGCCAGTCTGGTCATTCACGACGATCACCGCCTCATGCACGGCACCAAATCTCTTCCAACCCGGCGCAGACCGACCTTCGGCAACACATTGAACAAAATCGGGCTCGTCAAGAGTCATCTGAACTTGAAACATTACGACGAAGAATTGCCGAACTGGAAAGTCGGCAACGAGCACCCGAAAACCCCCCTCGGCGGGCCTCAACTTCGGCGCAAGTATATCTGGAAGCCGACTCCCCTCTCACACCGGAGCTTACGTCGGAACCCGTACCTGGGAAAGTTAAAGTCCCTCAAATTGGGCTATATGATGGAACTTCGGACCCCGATTCACACCTCGGTCATTATACTTCGTGGATGGATCTTCATGGGGCCTCGGACGCACTCCGGTGTCGTATGTTTTCTCTCACACTGGGGCCTCGAGCCCAAAAATGGTACCATTCTCTTCCTCCTCATTCTATTTGGAAGTGGCAACAATTGAGGTCGGCTTTCCGATCACATTTCATCGGGGCCCAAGTCTGCCTAATTCCAAAAGAATCTCTTGCAAATGTAACCCAAAAAGATGATGAAAGTGTCAAGGACTATATCGCCCGATTTAATGACCGAGTCCAGAATATGGAGCCTTGTCATCCTGAAACCCTGCTTGTCATGGCTATTGCCGGGTTGAAACCGAACTCAATTTTCCGTTGGACGTTGTGTCAAAATAAACCCAACACCTTTCAAGAATTTCTTGCTCGAGCTCAGCAGCACATCATAGCCGAGGAAGCCATGTCGGTCCCCGACTTTAATTTTAACCCGAAGTCATCCAAGGCGGGAATTGGCGAGAAGAAGAAAAGTAAGTTTTTTGAAAAGCAGAATAAGGCTCAGTTCAGAGGGCCTCCTCGGAGGGATCCCAACGATCCTGAAGTACGAGCAGCCCGAAAACAGTATGCCACCGATGTAAAATCTGGTTATCAGACTGTATATTCAACTGAGGCTGCCACCATATACGAAGAAATCAAAGGGAAAGGCTTTTTACCGGACCCCAAGCCACTTCGGATGCCCGAAGAAAAGTTGGACAAATCCTGATATTGCGATTATCACAAATCGCCAGGACACAATACTGACGAGTGCTTAAGCCTACTAGCTGCTTTGTTGCGTTTAATCGGTCATCCAACAGCTCAGAAAGTTCTATCGTAACTCCGATCCTCAGAAACGGGGCCCAGGGCGTCCAATGGAATCTTATGATGATGACGACGAGGAGGACCGCGGTGCTATACCGAAGCGTATCCGGCAAGGAGACGAGGAAATATTCATGTTCACTTCGGAAGCGCTCGATTCCAACTCAACTAAAACCTCTCGAAGACGCAAGCGAAGCAGATCTCCCAGCCCGATGCAAATAACTGTCCACCGCGTCAATACCAACAACACTCGGAGTACATTATCCCGTCGACAAGTCAAAGCTTATGCTCGACAAGCTTACAACTCCAGTAAACAAGTGTATACCACCGATCTGAGAGACATTCTTAATAACAGGAATTACAAAGAATTAAAGGGTTATATTAGTCACTTAGTGTCTCACTATGTAAAATTACAAAGAATTAAAGGGTTATATTAGTAAAAGTGATATTAAAGTACCTAAGCTAGCTAAATAATATTTATGGAATGTCCGAAGCTAGATTATTAATTATTAATATATCAATATTATTTGTTCAATCCTAATTACGAAGCATGATTCTTCGCCAAGTAGGATTCCGAAGTACCAACAACAGCCATATAGGCTGAGCGCATTCGAGAATAATATATAGAAAGGATAGCACATTTATGTCATCTTGAAAGAAAGTACAGAAAAAAGGAAAGATGCATGAATCACAAGATTTACAATCAAGGAGAGGAATTTTTGTGAAGTAACTTCTAAATTTTACTAAAGAAAGGGTAAAGAATAGTAAATTATAATTTTAGTCATGTATGTTTCACTACTTCAACTTTTTCGTCATCTTTGAGTAGCGTTTTTTATTTTCGTCCCATTTGTATGAGAAAATGTTAAACAACAGTCCTTTTCATACATAAAGGACGAAACTGAAACACTTTTTTGCAAAACATAAAAGACTTTTTTATTGCTAAAAAAACCTTTTGTAATATTTTTTCAAATATATGGGATGAAAATCAAAAACACATTTCGAAGAGAACGAAAATATTAAAGTAGTGAAACATACAAGACTAAATTTGTAATTTACACCAAAAAAATGTTGATAAAGTCATTTGTGCAATTTGAGGCTCTGACTGCGTCATTTATAAGGCCCCGGAAAGAAAAATTATTAACACGTGAATTGTAGTTGGAATGAACAACACTGCGCCATGCAGATAGCTTAAGAGTAAAATGCATTTTTCATCCTGTATGTTTACCCCTCCAAACATTTTAGTCCTCTTCGAATTGCGTTTTTTATTTTCTTCTCGTATGTTTAAAAAAAATTACAAAAAGGTCTTTTTCATACATAAGTGATGAAATTGAAACACCTTATTCCAAAACATAAAGGACATTTTTATTGCGAAAAAGACCTTTTTGTAACCTTTTTTCAAACATACAGGACGAAAATCAAAAACGCAATTTGAAGAGGACTAAAATGTTTAGAGGGGTAAACATACAGGACGAAAAATATATTTTACTCATAGCTTAAAGAAGGCATCAACACAGAAAATTCCACCCTTTTTTTTCAACATACTAGCCAGTCGAAAAGACAAGGTTAAGTAACCTTCTTACAGTGCACCTATACAATAGCACAAATCATCATTTACATGAATAGGCAAGGTTTTGACATGGTAAAATGTTTTGTTAGCCATGGAGCTTTTTGCTCCTTTTGTGCGAGTTCTTGGCGAGGGCATCACACAACTCTCGTTTTCTCCTGTTACCTCCAACCGGATTAATAACGCCACTGTCCGTGTTGTTGTTCAAGATTGGGTTTTTCGAGATCATTTGGGCTTGCAAAGTGTCCTTGACAAACAACTTCAATTTCCACAAGGTGGACTCTCTCTGCAAATTACACATTTTGATTAGAAATTGGGAATCTCCCAGAAACAAAAACATAGAGAGAGGAATCGCAGTAAATATAGCAAATCTGTTGAACTTTTAAATATAGCAACAGGTGTTGAAAACATAAACGGATCGTAATAAATTGAGAATGTTGGAATACCTGAGCATCTATGTCGACTTCCACAACTTCTCCGGCAGTTTGGAAGGTAGGTTCGTTTTGGGCAATGATTTCGAGAGCCTTGTTGATATCGTCGGGTGCCAACCTGGTGATAGCAGTCCCCAGTCGTTTCTTTTCTTCGGTCGTCATCTTTCTGAAGAGCAACCGCAGAATGAACAAATAAATAAAAAAATTCTAAGCATGATGATATTCAGACTAAGTAACTAGGGTGATCACTGACACTCGGTATTACATGAACCTCTCAAACATTGAAAATAAAATAAAATAAATAGATCCCACAAACATATTCCAATTTTTCCAGTTACATATTTGATCATATTAACCTCGTTGTTGTTGTTGTTCAAGCACTATATTTTCATTTAGTCCTATTTATAACGTGTCTTTTCTAATTGTCTCGTCTAAATTCCTTTTAGGTCTTTCCTTTCCTCTTTTAATGCGAGTCTCAGTCAAACACCTAGATGGAAATAAATTGCTGTTGTGCTGAAATCCTCTATAATCCAATTTGGCCCAAATCATTTCATTAGGAAAAAGAAACCTCAGATCTGATACAAAGAGATAGCTAATCATTTTTTCGGTATTTACATTTTGACTAAATTGGCTAGAGGTTTTGATCCATTAAATTACACAGAATAATGATTTTCTGAATATTTGAGCTACTTTGAAGGAGATTCATCTTTACATAAGGAATATGCTCTCAGCAGTGTGTTAAATTTGAGGGGAATGAATCATTGAGCAAATGCTCCTAATGATGCCAGCTTGCAAAAAAGCCTCTAATATATTGCTAACTACCGCTTCCTGACGTCTATAAATTTTGTGTTAAATAAACATGGCCATGAAGCACGTGAATATCGTTAACATGAGAATTCTCACGCAACTTTTGTCTTTTCACGAAACAGGACGGGACAGGATATATTATACACTCGAAAACCGTAATGCAAATAAAGGAACCAAAGTTCTATACCGTCATCAAATAAGTGTTTTATAAAATATACCAAATACAATAGTGGCATGTGGCTGATTAGTGTAAAGCCGCCAACAACCTACATGATACTATATATTGATGAACTTTTCAAAATAGCTGAAGCAGATTAGTGTGGAAAGGGAAAACAGATAATCATACTATTATCATCGAAAAATTAAAAAATAAAAAATCTCCACAGAAGACTCGGAAAGAGGAAGTATGAGTTGACAAACCTGCATTTCTGAAGAGCTATTTCTTTGAGTTCTTTCAGATGAGCATCGACCTTGTCCAGCTGCAAAAATTGAGAATGGGTTATGCAGAGGATTTTGTATGGCTATCTTTAGGTTATGGCTATCTTTAGGTTACCCAAATATACATACAATAAAAGAGATAAAGAGTATTTCGTGCACTAACCTCAAAGCCCAAATCTCTCACCAATTTGGCATGAACAACCTCTTGAGCGAGCTGCAGATCGAGTTGCATCTCGGATTCCTCTTCTTTTCGCAGTTTTTCCTTACAAACAAGAAGCAGTTAAAGCAACCTGCTAATTCTGACAGAACTATAGAGTTCATTGAAGAGTAGATAATTACAGAAACTACCCCTGAGGTCTAGCTTAATTCTAAGAAACTCCATTTATCTTCCAAAATTACAAATACCCACTAAACCTCACACCAACCCCCTAAAAGTTTGTATTTATCTGACTACTGCCATCCCCTAGTTTGTAATAATGAGATACATGTGTTAAAAGGTTATCTTAGTGAATGATAACTAGGTTCTTCCACAATTATGCTAAACACTTTAACATGTCTTGTCAAAATCAATTAGAATCCATTGAAGACAACACTATTTTTTTAATTTCTAGCAAAACCTTAACAGCATTTACTGCAGAAACGCAGCAATCTATAAAATTATCCAAAAGTAATAAATCAATACATCTTCATCAACTTTGGGCAGGAGTTTCAGCCATTTGGTCTCAAACTTATCCAACAAGCTTTTAGCCATAACATGGACATCTTCCTTCTCGTCATTATATTTCATAGCGTTCTTAAATATCAGCCTCACATCTGCACATATCTCTCGGACATTTTTATAGCCGGTACCATCCCTGGCCTCCATTTTGCTCTTGATCGTACTGAAGTCCATAGGTTTCTCAATAACCTACAATAATACACAAAATAATAGATTCGTAAAAAACACATGATGAAACAGCACACAGGAAAATTGAGAAAAGCCTGGAGAAAATGCCTGGGGACTAAAAAGGATAAAACAAGTAAATCAACTAAATATTTATGCCGGACAGATTTTTTCATTTCTATCATCCTCATACACTTCATATTTACCCGTGACTAATGATATCATAAATATAACGGTTAATAGTCTTTTGATACAGTGCGGGAATGTATAAAGTTTGACTGCATAACCTCATAGTAGTCATGCAAACCAAGACCAACCACGTCCACAGGTTTCAAAAATGGTGCTGCCCACTTGAGTTGAGTCATCTGACAAGTGAAAAATATAGAAAAAGAAGTAAACAAAATAAAATCAACCTATTAAGAATCGGCAATCCAGCACTTCGGAACAATGCTCGTGTTATGCTAAACTAATATTCAATGTTCCAGACCCTTTAATTAAAGAGATAAATGCTACTACAGCACCCTTAAAGGATTCTATAGTCTGTAGTACCTAGCAGTGTTAATTTTTGGGAATAGGATCCAATTTTCAGCTTGAATTTCAATTGAAATCGCATATCAGCACAAACTTTGGACATGCATACTTGAATTGAAGAAAGACCTGCTTTCTGGATTTCGATCCAACAATCCTGCTTCGAGGTAAATCTGAGAATATTCGATTTGCATGCTAGCCTGAACTTCGGATACAAATTCAAATTCTGTTCATAAGTTACACTCAAGGAATGAATTTCCGTGCACACTAACAATCTACATATCAAACTGAACTCTAAATCTACATTAAATTTATGTGTCTTTTTCATTTTGTATTTTCAAAGATTCTGGTTAGACTGGTTTTCTGATACTTAATAAATACAATATAACATACCAAAACAGAACGAACCATATAAATGCGAAGTACTGATATACATACATATGTAGTTAATTCGACTTCCAGTCGATCCAAAAGCTGAAAAGCTACCAGATATAGAGTGAAAAGGGGGAAATAAACTTAATGAAACAATCGCAATCCGAGAGAGAGCTCAATGATCTGGTCTAAGATAACATCAACTCAAAACAACACCTAGAGGAAGTGATCTGGGTTACCTTAAGCAATATACTCTCAAACTGGTTCATGAGATCTTGCTTTCTCCTAGCAGCATCTGCTTGCTTACGTGCTAAATCTTGCTGCCTCTTACTAAAGTTTGCAGAAAGCTTCTCCATGTCTTTGTCCTTCAAAGTTGGGCCACTTCTTAGAGTGTTAGAATTCTTTGGGTTTGAATTGGAATAAAATTGTTCGATCTCATTAACTTTCTTCTCTAGCTGCAAATGCAAACATAACAATTTTCTTACGCGTAAATTCATTATATACCATTTCAGGATTCGAAACTCACTGCAGATCAGGGCATAAGAGATTATCAAGAATTCTGACAACCAAATATAATAGCCAAAAGTGAAATCGGATATAAAACACAAACAAGAAATAAACTTGGGCATAGAATGATCTTTCATCACAATTCCCGCAGCAAAAATAACTAATTCTACAACACAATACCGAGTTATCATAGTAAAATTCATGGATTACTACAACACAAATATCTTTTAACAGATCCTAATTCCAAAAGCGACAATTTTCTTTCGAATGAACCTTCGACCTGAAGCTATTGCTGCACACCACTATAATTAAAGAAAAGAAGAACAAATAGAACAAAATCAACCATAATTCTAAAACACAATGCACAATGACGATGGGAATTGTGCAAAAAGGACAATAGATAATCTCACACAGACAACGAAAGAAAACAGCCGGAGTCGGTGTGCCTGAGAATTACCAAAACAGAAAACATAATTCAAACAAACAAACATGTGACGCACTGCCATAAAAATTCCACCTTGTCAACTTCAATAAATATTTCATCCACACGTTGATTCAAGCTCTCAACTTGAGAAACATTCTCCGAGGTTTCTTGCTGGCCAACAGCCGACACATCACGAACCCGCCCGCTCTTAGCATCCATAAGCTGTCAATAGTTTAAGTAAATAAAAAAAAAAAAGATATAAAAAAATGAAAAGAGAAAAACAAATTCCCCTCAAAAGGTATACAAAGATACAAAATTTACGATGTGAGGAAGGTTCATATCACCTTCTGCCTCAGAAATCCACCATAAAAAACCTCAATTTTTTCAAAGGATTACTGAGAACACATACAAAACGTGCAGAAAAATTGAAACCCTCGAACAAAAACCACCGAATAAAGAACTTTCCAGCAAAACTGGAAATAAAACAAAGCCACTGGAAATAACAATTCAGAAAAACCTGTTACAAGTACATAAAAAAATATGGAGTTCTATAAATTTGCGTTCAGGCGAGAAGAATCACCTTGACAGGGTTTTTTGGGCAGATTGAAGAAAAGCCAACACCGGAAAGTTCGAGTATAACGCGCGTGCTATGCTTTAGTAAAATGGGTGTGATGTGGTTGGATGGATAATGTTCCTCTACCAACCGTGGCCACATGTTAATATGTTCACAGCTTACATGACATGTATTCATTAATTGAATTCATGATTGATGATGTTAATATGTTAAAAAAAATATATCATCAATGTGGGCATCTCGCATAAGCCGTGGGCATATTAATATGTGTCTCCCGTGGGTAGGGAGCAATACTGGTGGTTGGATTACACAATTTTCCGACGAAGAAATTTTGGTGTATTTAATTTACGCGTTTTAAGATTTTTAACAGTTTAGAGACTCTTCAATTGAGATTTTAGAAAGTTTTAAAAAGATATGAGATATTTAATTTATTTGAGACCATGATTTGTTTAAGATTTTGTAGCATTTCTAAAGAAAAAACATTATATCAATTCACACTTTAAATCTCACCTCAAAGGTTTCGCAGGATTCCTCTAAAAAAAATCTTCATAAGGCACAAAATGTCATTATAAATTTGTGGATATTACTAAATTTATATTTATTAATATATATAAAAAGACTCATTCTTTTAAGAATTATAGACTTTTGAATTTGTGAAATCTGGTTGTAATTAAATGACAATTTTTAAAATTTAAAAAGTTTTGAGTATTTTTTTGAAATTTTCATTGAGTTTTTGAAAGTTTTTAAAAAATCAGAGGTATTGATTTTTTACAGACCAATAAAATCACTAGGTATTCATTTCATTTTTCAATTCTTTGAGATTTGTCATTTGTTAAGATTTAGAGAGACTTTAGCTGAGAAAGTATATATTCAAATCTCATTACAAATCCTACCAGTAGATAAGAGATTATGAGATATTACGACTACTCAACTCGCATAAAGGGTTTTACGAGGGTGACGATTTCTCTTCTCTGCTTTGAAAGCCATTTTTGTTATTCAATCAACATTTGTTTTTGGATTATTTTATATATCTTTTTCTACTCCTCCCATGAGAGTAACTTTAACGGTAGGTTTTTGATAGGTTTGTAAACCTCACTTTTTAACATTTACCACTAAAGTTGTGAGCTTTGAGGTTTAACATTACAATCCAGTGTTAAACATTCAACACTCACATAAACCTCACTTTTTGACCCCACACCTGCCAAACATGTTCCCTTTTGTCTTTTTTTTTTCTTTTTTCTTATCTAATTTCATTTTTTTCCCAGCGTACATATTCTCATGTTTTCCTTCACACACAAAATATAATGTTTATTTTTTTCTTAATTCCTTTGTTACCTATTTTCATGTTTTACTTCATTAATTCTTTGTAAATACAATATTTAAATTTTTAATTCATTTCGTAATATTTTTATGATAATTTTTTTTTTTGTTATTAAATTATTTTTAACATATGAAATCATGTTAAAACATCAATTTTAAATCATGTTAAACCTGACTCATGATTTTATAAATAACTATATTTCTATTTCATTTAAAATTAAATATAACTATATTTGTATTTCATTATGTTAAACCGACTCATATATTTGAAATGTTTAGTATTAATAAACTATTTTAGTTATTAATTTTAATAAATTCTTGTCAATTTATTTTCTAGATTTTAATTTTCACTATTGCAAATTTTAGTGTTATATTATTATATAATTTCTATATGTAATAAAACTTTATTTTTTTATTTTATTAAATTCTATAAATATAAAAATAAATAATGAAAAATAATATAAAATTTAACTGAATGTTGACATGCCTTTGAGTTGTCACTTGTCACAAAATAAAGCTGAATTTTGAGCTTGATTTATGGGATGGATAAGCTCCTTGATTTGATAGCAAACTTATCTACAATGTCCATATGTATGCAAACCCGGCTATAAAACTATGGGTAGTTTTTTTTGTAAATTTAAAACATACATGTCCATTTTAGTGTAGAAGTTTAAAACATACATGCCCACATGCATATGATATTTCGGCTATAAAACCATGAGTAGATTTGTGTAAGTGTAAAACATACATCTTCATTCTTCATTTTAGTGTTTAAGTGGTGATGGATAGAAACCCAAATTCTTCTAATTTCAATATTCCTAACTCTTCTGAGGACGATAGTCCGTCTTCAACAAATTCTCGCTATCGTAGGAGTATACCTCCCATTTTTGGCCAATTTCCGACAATGCAATCACAATCCCAATTTCAAAATTTTTCATATCAACCAATTCCCTCATTTTCTATATCCCAAACTTCAGAAAATCATGTCTACCCTCAACAAAAAAATGCGATGAACATGAATCCGTCTCAGTATATTTGGCCAATAGCATCCCAGTATGGAATGCCAAATTCACTTGGCATGCCTTTTCAACATGGTAATTTCATACCAACATCTATGAGTAATGGGCCTACTGGCTCACAAGATCCCCTAAGAGCTACCACGGGGCCAGAGGTTGAAGGTCCTGACAATATTTGTCTTAATACGGAAAAAAAAAAAATAAGGAACCTGATCTAAAAAGACGTGGGAAAGTGTCGGCAATATCGTGGACACAGGAGGAAGATATGTTGCTTTGTCGTGCATTTTGTACTATCTCAAGTGATCCCATCGTCGGTGCTCAACAAACTTCTGAAGGCTTCTGGAAACGAATCACTCAATATTATAGTAAAACAGCTCAAGCTAGAAACTTGATTGAGAGATCTATAGATTCAACAAAATCTCACTTCTATGTTTTTCATGCAGATTGTCTTAAATTTAATGCATCCATAAATAGGTTTCGGGTTGACCAAAGGAGTGGAGCAAATGATGTTATTGTATTACAAAATGCATTAACAGAACGGAATAGAGAAGGGAAAAGAAAATGTGGCTTCAAGTGGCTTCACTGTTGGGAGATTCTGAAGGATAGTCCAAAATTTCAAGGGACTGGTGGAGCAATTCGTGGAGGAAAAGAATCTAGGACATCAGAGTCGGGAGATCACACTTCTGGATCTGGACAAGATGTGGAGCATGTTGGTAATGACGATGAAAGATACGTGCGCCGCCCCATTGTCCAGAAGGCAGTGAAGGCTGCAAAGAGAAAGGGAAAAAGTGGCACATGGAGTAGTACTGATCAAAGAGCAGAACGTATGTTGGATGCATTTGGACAAATTATGAGTATGCATGAGAAGCAACAAAAGGAGATAAAGAAGTTGGTACGCATAGAGTTATGGAAGACCTATAGAGAAATGTTAAAGGAAGATACTTCAAGTATGACTGAAGAAGAATTGGCAGCTCATTACGGGCTTCTTGCAGAACTGAAAGAGGAATTGGGCCTCAATTAAATTTGACAATGTATTTTATTTATGTTTCTCGTATTTTGTTTGCAAGAATTTGTATTGTAATTTATTTTTATGTATTGTAACGTGTTTAATTTTAACGTTTGTCATTTTGTATTTTTCGTCTACCGTGTTCACTGTCTCTATCCAATTGCATTCATTATATTTGAACAAAATAAATGCCCACCAACCAAATTAATTATGTTTGAAAGACATGTCACATGGTTCCAACCTACCACTTGTAAAACCTTACCTTTAACATCTCATCTTCACATTATAAAATGGAGCATTGGTAGATTCAATTGGACACCAACCACCTTCAGCAAACAACATAATTTTTTTATTCTTCTTTTACTCTTCTTTTCCTCAAGTCCCCATTTTCCTCTTTATTATTTTATCAAGCATAAAATGTCTAGACGTACAAATGAAAGAGTAGCATATCGTGCGTTCTTGAAAAGTATGCTTGATGATTCTCTCGCAAAAGCTGAATTTGCCTTGATGGAGGCAGCTACTAATGAGTTCCAAGAGGACGAACAAGCTGACAAGGCGAGAAAGGCGAGTAGTGCACCGAGATCGTGATGCTGGACACGCTCTACTTGTAAGAGATTATTTTTCTAATGATCCCACCTATCACGAAGACTTTTTTCGTCGTAGATTTCGTATGTATAGACGTTTATTTTCTCGTATTGTTGATTCCATTGAAAATCATTCTGATTACTTTAAGAGCAGAGTAGATGCGACTGGTAAAAAAAGTTTTACACCTATTCAAAAGTGTACCGCTGCTATACGCCAACTGGCATATGGAGCACCAGCTGATCAGTGTGATGAATACTTACGCATGTCAGAACAGACGGCAAATAGAAGTCTCATCGAGTTTTGTCGATGTCTGCGACAAATATTTGCATCCCAATACTTGCGTTCACCCAATGATGCTGACATTCAACGACTACTTGTATTACATGAGGGAAAACATGGTTTACAGAGAATGTTAGGGAGTCTTGATTGTATGCACTGGAATGGAAAAATTGTCTAGTGGGTTGGCAGGGCTCATACACTCGATGGGATCATGGAGTACCCACAATAATGCTTGAAGCTGTAGCCTCACACGGCTTGTGGATCTGGCATGCCTTTTTTGGACTCGCTGGATCACGAAATGATATTAATGTGTTACATGAGTCTCCACTATTCAATGATGTTTTACATGGGGTAGCACCGGAGGTAAATTTTACAGTAAATGGAACCCATTATAGAAAAGGTTATTACTTAACAAATGGTATCTATCCGGAATGGGCAACATTTGTGAAAAGCTTTCAATGTCCAGAGGATCCAAAGAGGATAAAGTTTAAGCAACGACAAGAGGCTGCAAGAAAAGATGTTGAACGTGCTTTCGGAGTGCTCCAGTCAAGATGGGCAATTGTACGTGGTCAAACTCGTTTTTGGTACAAAGAAGATCTTAGTGAAATAATGTTATTTTGTATTATTTTACATAATATGATAATTGAGGACGAGGGTGAGGAGGCAACCAATTGGTCCAATGAAGATGGTGAACCGCCTATCCAAACACATCAAGGTCATCCAACAAATTTTCGTCGCTACATGCAAATACGAGCTGAAGTGCAAGAAAGATAGGTTCATCATCAAGTTAGGCATGACCTAGTTGAACATATGGAATGAACCTGATTATTAAGAATAATATATCGATCATGTATGAAAATTTTAATTTGTATCGCAGTGTAGTTTTGATATTTTATATTATTGTAAGGTTTAAGTGTAATCGAATTTTCTTATTTTTTTTTAATTTTTGTCAGCATGTAATTTTTTATATTTTATATTATTGTAAAGTTTATGTGTAATAAATTTCACTTATTATTATTTTTTTTAACTGTACGTAAAATATATTTATTATGATATATAATAAATATGTTATTGTAATAATAATGAGTAGTGTATTTAATAAATATGAATTAAATTGATATATAAATTAAAGTAAGTGGGAAACATGCGGGATCCATTAAAAGAAGGTTTTTGAGGTTTATGGTTATTGGAAGTTTGTGATATTGAGAGTAAGAATGAGGTTTAGATGATGTGGAGTATTGGGAATGTAAAAAGTAAGGTTTATAAACCTTACTCATTAAAGATGCTCTGACCAACTACTATCTTTTCTCCCTTTCGGATGGTAAAGATTCAATATTCTCACCTCCTTACCATTCATGTGAAGGTTTGTATATTCTAATATTGATAAGTATACTCACTTTTTTTTTTTTTTTTGCGATTATATTCAAGTAATTTTTTTAAAGCAGCATGTGATTAATTATTGTTAACAAGGTCATAGTTTTGTTCTTGGATTTTTTGGAGAATTGTGTTACATTATATACTTTTCCTTTATAAGTTTGGTGTTCTCAATTTTCACTGCTTACCCATTTTTGTTACTTTTGTTTCTCAAATTGAATTGTAAAAGTTGTGTAATAAAAAGTCCGTTTACTTTCTCAATTTTTTCCATGAAGGGTTCTTTCACAAGAATAATGAAAGATCGTCCAACCACTTGCATTCCATGAATTGTAAAGTTGTTGTGTAATACAAAGTTCATTTACTCTCTTAGTTTTTTTCCATGAAGGTTCTTTCTCAAGAGTGATGAAACTGTTCAAATACTTGCATTCCCTAGCAAGGTAAAATCAGAGTCGGTCCTGAAAAATTAGAGACCCTGAGCTAAATGATAAATAGTGCCCATATTATTTTATAATCCATTAATAATTTATCATATTAGAAAAGAAATACTGAATAATAAAAATTATAATAAAATTAAAAAAGTTTATATAAAAAAAAGTTGACAAACGCAAATGCCCCCATAGAGTCTTTTTTTTTATCAATTAAGCTGATTTTTTGATAAAAAGAATTAACAAAGTGCGCCGAGACTTCATTCCCTCAAATTTCTAGGAACGGACTTGAAGACAATAATAGTAAAGCCTTGTGTTTGCTTTTACAAAAATTACAAAAATGAAATTTTCAAATACATTAAACATTCTCGTATTTTTTGTAAATCTTTTATATATATGTATATAAAGGCACACATATGTAGATGTAATAAAAATATGACAATGATAATAAATGTGAGAGAAAAATAAATTATTTACTAGTGACAACTAATATTTAAATGTATGTAAGTAACTACTAATAGAATTTGTTAATTCTTTTATTAAACATTAAAAATAGAATAATCTATATATATATAATTACTGGCTGATTTGCATTAAAGAAAACCTAATCAATTTTACCTACGTGGCACTTTCCCGCCTTTTTACGTTACTGTTCATTTTTTTTTTTAATTTTCTGAATTAACAGCTCATATTTGGAAAAGAGTTGTATGTTTTAAAAAAATGGCAACCAATTAATTCTGAAATAATAACAAGTTAATGTTGTTTCCATATTTTTTTAAATGTATTAAATTATCTCCACAATTAGCAGTAATCATTTTTTTAACTGCAATGATTAAATTAAATGAAATAAATGCAAAAAAAAAAAAATAATAAATTAAAAATATTACAACCAACTAAAAAAATAAATTAATAAAAAAACTCAAATGCTCCATCTCATGCCAATTCCTGCAAAAATAAGAAAATAAAAGATCAACCAAAACAAGTAATTTATAAGTAATTATAATTACAAATTCCAATCCCAAAATTTGAGAACATTAATGTTTCGAAATCTGAAAATAGGAGGCGAAAATCTGAAAGTAAAAAAAAAAGTTGCGGGAATCCAAAATTTTAAAAAATTCTTTATATAAATTCCAATTCCATATGAATTAGGCAGGAATAGAAAATTGCAATTCCATATTTCTTATCTCATCTAATAACTCTAATTAAAATAATACAATCAATACCCCATATATTTTGCTAATCTCATTAATCAAATAAAAATTAAATATTAAATATCTCATATTCTTTGCAAATCTCATAACTCTAATAGAAATTCAAAAAATAAATGTTGTTGGTCAAAGAATCAATATCCCATATTTTTTTCTCTCATTACTCTAATAACAAATAAATATTAAATATTTAATATTATTTGCAAATATAACAATCCTAATAAAATATGTGAAATTAATGTGACTGGTCTACTTCACTATTTTCTCTTCTAATCTCATAACGAAAATAAAAAAAATATTGAATATCCCATAATTTTGTCAAATATAATTATTCCAATAAAATTTTAATATTAAATGGGTTAGTCAAAGAATTAATACAAATTGCTTGATTTTTTCCATCAATCATTTATTTTAATTGTAATTATCATTATCATTCAAATAAATTTGTATTTATTGCTTCTTCTCAAACCCTATATAAATAGTGAACTCATTTGCCAAACACTCACCCCATCCCATTCTTTTCTAATAACACTTGGACGAGCAAAAAAAACTCTCATTTTCAAGCTTAAAAATTCCCAAAAAACATCATGATTTCACAGTTTGACAATTTAACTTGACAAAAAACAAGAAAATGGCTGCAAAGTTAAGATTGGTGAGATATTTCCCCAAGTTCTACAAGTCCACCAAAGAAAGCATTAGAGAGCTCCACTTTGTATTTCATGATGTTAAGGTATTTATCTTTGTTCACGCATTTTATAATTGAAGTTGATGTTTATTGTTTATTGTGTTTTTGTGTGTTTTTCTATGTGTTTTTGTGTGCTTTCGAGTCGATTCTAGGATTGTTTTAGGGTTGGCCGGTCCATTTTGTCGTTCTCCGTGTGTTTTTTTATGCTTTCCTTTTTATTTTATATTTTGGCGTACTTTTCCGTGTTTTTTTCGGTTATTAATTTCAGGGTTATTCCGGAGATCGAGAGAGAGAGAGAGAGTCGAACTATGTTATGAGAGAGTCGAGCCACATTTAGTGAGTCCGAGCCAAAGTTT